CCAGAATGACGCTGACGGGGTGCGTCAGGGGAGTGCGTGGGTGCTCCAGGAGGACGGGTTGCGCCCATGCCTTCGGATTATTCTTGTAACTGCCCCCGGGTCTGGCTTGGCCACCTCGGGAGCGATCGTTGTACTGTGGCTCTCGGTTGGTCGGAGGGGGAGGCCCTCCGGGCCGGTTCCTGCCTTCATTCTTCTGAGAGGGGTCCGCGTTGCGGCGGTCTTTCTCGATTTCCTCCGCTTCAGCGTACCGATCCCCCCGCTGAAGGGCCTTTGTATAATCGCGGGGGGGATCAGTGATAAGGCTCCGGGAGAAGTTACCATTGCGGAGGACGGTGTGGAAGAGGGCCATCAGGGTCCTGTCATCGGCGCCTTCGACCTCGAGGGAGGCCTGCCTCCAGCGCTCCAAGAAACTCCGAAGGGTTTCCTCCTTCTGTTGTCTCACGTTCAGAAGGTGGGAGAAGTGTTTCTTTGAGCGGTGCCTCCCGGCAAACTGCGTAAGGAAGCGGTGGGCAAGTTCTTGCCACGAATCAATGCTGCCTTCGGGCAACCGGTTGAACCACTCAGACGCTGGTCCCTCCAAGGTGGAAAGGAACCAACGGCATAAGTATTCATCCGATGCCCCCATCATCATCATGCTGTTTTGATAACGGCTATAGTGCTCCTGGGGATCCGTCTTCCCCTCATATGGTTTGATAGGTTGCCCCCGATATTTGTGGGGGATTTTGGCCGCCAACACCCTTGGGGTGAAAGGCGTCCTAGTGCGGAGCTGAATGAGGGGCTCGCCTGAGCCTTCGGCAAGTTTACGTTTCATTTCCTCCACCTGTGCCCGGAGGTCAGCGTACTCCGGATCTGGCCTCGCTGTGGAAGCCGTCGGGGGTGCCTGTCGATTCTCCTCGAGTTGACGGAGGAGGGCTTCAATGATTTCGTCCTTGGGATCCTTCGGGGCAACCCCTTGGGAGTTGGCCCGGAAGGATTGCGCCTGATTGATCTGATGCCTGGCGTCATCGGCATGGAGGAGGGCTTTGCCTTTGCTTCGCGGGGGAGGCACGCCCTCGGCGCCCGAAGCAGAGGCTCCACTCTCCTGGGGCCTGCTGAATGCCTGTTTCCCGAGGCGGTCTTGGACCCCTCGGTGCCCGGGAGCTCCCCCAAGCCTCTCAAGTACAGAGGTTCGGGGTTTCTCTTTCATCACGGGGCGCTTGTCCCTGGATTGGGCCTCTTGGGAGGCGGTATCCTGCGCCATGACCCCCTCGGCATTGCCAATCCCCGGGGGAGGATTGTTGAACAAAGGAGGGAGTGGTGGTAGGTTGATAACATTCCCTCCAGCGTGGGGCTGAAGGGGCGCCTGGGAGGCGAGGGCTCCGGAATTGAGAGCCATGTTTTGAACGAAGGCCGCAAAGGCAGCCTGAAGATCGATGGCCGGGGCCGGAGGGGGAACTTGGTTCTCACTCCGATCCCTCCTTCGATTATCAAGGCCAATGCGGGCATCAGGGGCGTTCTTCTGTAGCTGCTGACGGAGGTCAGCGGTAGCCTGCTCCAATTCAAGGATGACACCACCCTCGGGTACTAAGAGCCTGTTGGAGGCCTCAGCCCCGTTGGTTTCGCCGGGGGCGACGTGGTTCTCCTCCAGAGTTTTGGATTGGGCACGAGTGGTTCTTCCCATTTTTTGGCAAGTGTTTTTGTATTTGGTAGAGGGGGAGGGTTTCTTACTTGATAGTTCAGACCTCTCAACGAGAGCACCAAATGATGGATAGTCTACCCGGGGGGTATCTTATCCGAGGGGTTATTGCGGGAATAACTAGAGAGAAATCAGAGCAAATAGGAGGAGAGAGAGTTGATTTTATTAAATGAACTCAGCGTGGAGTTGAGATGTAGATTGTGTCGATTACAAGGAGAAATGGGCTGCTATTTATAGCAGCAATAAATGCGATGGGAGGACACGTGTCAGTAATCCAACGGCCGAAGGGTCACATCAGCCTAGTGGCACCGGCAGTGGTACGTCAACCGCATTGAATGCGGTTGGCGGATGTGACGTGGCATTAAATGCGGTGGTTGGCTGTCTCTAAAAGGAATCTTCGATGATTGAGCTTGTTCAGCCGAAGGCTCCCGGTGTAGCCGAGGGCTCCCTGTGTAGCCGAGGGCTCATTGCGTAGCCGAGGGCCCCTTGTGTGGCCGAGGGCCCCTTGTGTGGCCGAGGGCTTGGTTCAGCCGAAGGCTTCCCCTGGTGCCGAGGGCATGGGAATGCCGAAGGCTCATGTCTTCGCCCGTTTTCTCCCAGCAGCTTCTTATGCCAGAAAAGGCTATCCTGTGAGTTTCGGAGCCTTCGGCCAAGGGGGCCGAAGGCACCCTAGTGCGTATTCTGGGCTACTTTGAAGCTTGGGCCGTTGTATTTGGGCCTGAGATGTTCTCTGGGCTTAATGGACTTGTGTAGGAGAAGTAGGAGTCTATGGGCCGGGGGTTCCTGGGCCATGTACTCCATCAGCCCATTTTGGGCTTACTTGGCCCATTAGGGTAGACTTATTCCCTACTCCCTTTCAACAAGTATCAAACATCATCTATTAAGATGAAAATCAGAGTTTCTATTAAATGAGCATTAATAAACCTTGAATGTGCATCCACATATTATGAGCATTAAAACACATTCAATGAGCATTAGACTTATTCAATTGAGTAATGTGAATCTAATGTCATATGCAACTTTCAAAATTTGCATGAATATGACATTTTAAAAATGAGCATAATATGAATACAAATTGAACAAACTTAACTTACAAAATGAGTATTGATATAAAAATCATAAGTTTTTTAGTTGAACTTCAAGACAAGTTTATTGAGTATCAAGCATTCTATATTGAGTATTAAAAACATGAATTGAGTATCTGTCTGTGCTCCTATATCCATAATCAACTCCTACATGAATCTAAAAAATAAGTTGAAACATTTAATAATATGTATATAATTCATTTTCACAATAATTGAATATATAACATTAAAGTAGAAAGTTACTAAAAAAGGAGACCAAACAAACAAAAACAAAAAAAGAAGATAAAGTCAATAAACAAAAGATAAGAATCGAAGCAGCGGGAAGTAATAACTCAATAGGCTAAGCATCGAGAGCGCTTTTTCTCCCTAGGGTTGCCGACGGCCGCCTAGGGTAGTCTTTTGTTTTCCGGCGATGCCTTCCAATGTATGGCGTCCGGTGTTTTTCCGGCGGTGCCTTCCAAGGTACGGCGTCCGGCGTTCTTCCTTTGGTGTAGCAGGTTCCTTTGTCGCGACTCTTGGCCGCAGGGCTTGGGCAATGGGCATCTTCTAGGGTCGAGAAAGAGGGGTGAGAAAAGACGGCCTATTGTGGCGCTTGGGTCCAGCGTTGTCCCTCTCCGTAGGGCTTGGACATTGAGATCGAAGGAGGACGATCTAATGTTCTTTCTTCTCGTAGGAGAAGTAGTTCTGTGTGAACATAGTAAAAACCTTGCCCGGAGAAAAACTCAATGGTAATGTTGTACACCTATTTTTAGTCTAATATTTCAAATAACTGAAAACACTAATCCAAACACATTATAAGCCTAAAAAGTGTTTCTCAGTAGGACACTATTCCAGAAATAAAGGTTTACTATGAACAAATAATAAGCCATCAAAAGGTTGTTTATAAGCAGGCCTCTATTCCAGAAATGTAAAAGCAATTCAAAATGCTTTTTGAATTGTGTTTGATTTAGCATTCAAATATAGGCTTATATAAATTGACATTAGTTATGTTATTGAATTGTGTTTGATTTAGCATTCTCAGTTTTCATATACCAAGTATGATTTTTTTAATTAGTTCGTTCTTATAGTCGTCCCCCCCAAAATTTATGCAAAAAATTCTTTATAAAAAAGACTACTCTCCAACCAAGTCCTTCATGCTTAGTTTCGGTGTTTACAATAGAAAAAATGTTCTCTGTGCATATATTAAGTGTAGTGTTGGACCCATTTCAGTCCGCCCGACCCGGGAACCGGCCCGGCCCATTACTGTGCGGGCCCGGCCCAACCCGGTGTACTGGTTTTGGTTCCGGGCCTAGGCCCGGTCCCGGGGGTTAGAGTGGGGCGATCCCGGTTCACCCCATTCTTTGGAACCGACCCGGGCGGGCCCAGGCCCAATTCGGGCCCCTTTTTTGGTTTTTTCATTGTTTTGGACTTTTCCTGAGTTGGGCTTGGTGTTTTTTTTTGGGGGGGGGGGGTTGGGGGGTAGGGGGGGGTAGGGGGGTAGGGGGGGGTCGGGGGTTAATAAGAAAAGAAAAAAACAACATGGACCCGACCCGGAACCGGTGGTAACCCGGGCCGGTCCCGGGTCTTCTACCAAAAATCAAAAGCCCCGCTGGGCCTAGGTCCGACCCGGACCCGAGTCCATGACTAATTAAGTGTGAATAAACCCATAGAAGTCAATATGCATTAAAAAGTGCACTTTTTAAAATCAAGGGTTTGATTTTTGTGTTCACGTTTTCTTGCAAATGAAGTTGACTTATAAATTCAAAAAATTATTTCACTTTATCTAATTTCTCCTTGAGTTATAAATACAAATCAATTTTCTTTTTTTTCGAGATTAGGCTGTTTGAATTCTGTCCAGCCTTTTATGAATTCTTAGGGGGGCATACTCATTATATTTAGGAATAGAGGCCTGCTTACAATTGAAATTTTAGTCCTATAGCCAGTTTGGAACTTTTTCATCCTTTCATGTTTAATGTTCAGTTTTTCATTTCTTGAAAATATCACAATACTTTTTCTTTTTGTAATATCACATTACTAAATGTCCGAAACTTTTCATCTTTTACATTCAGCATTCAAAAGTGTGGTTAGCCACCACACTTTTGCTTATTGAATTAATAATTTGGAATTTATAATACCTAGGGATGCAAGTATTTAGATGTTGAATTTTCCTTCATTAGCGTTTTATGGCAAAAAAATGAAGTTGAATAATAAACAATTGAAGAGAATAATGCCAAAAAAATGTCAGATTAACAGTAGTGTCGTATCAAAGTGTCTTAAAAGCTATCAAATTTGTAGATAAGTCGGTGTCAAGAGTGTTTTTTGAATTACTTGAATTGCTCAATTCAATTTATGAGTACTCGAGGACTTTTTAATCCTTCATTTCTCTATATTTATCGCTTCTTTGTAAATTTCTATTCAGCATTCATTTCTGACAGAGATAATCTAATATGGATTTGTTATGACATTGATAGGAAAAACATGATAAAACAATTCTACCGCTTCAATATAAGATGATTTTGCTGAGATAGTCAAATGTCATCTCTAATTTCAACCATGTTTATTTCATCTGCATCGACTCAGCTTTGCATGCAGATATCCTTGGGTGCCCAAGTAGCAGGAGGTACTCTCCAATTCTTTGTTTCTCTGTTTCTCTATTCTCTGTGAATACATCTCCAGTCTAGCATTCATTGATTGAGTGGATGTTTACGAAAAAACTGATTTTTGTTCTTAAAGTGGAATAGGTAAAACTGTTTTCCATTCCTTCAAATGCATCTTTTTTGCTTTGTTTTTACAACCTTTTTTTCCTGCCTTTTTTATCCATGTGTTTAAAGGAAAGGAGAAGATATATTGAATGAGTGTATGTGACAAAGAAAGGAGAAGATATATTCAATGAGTGTATGTGACAAAGTAGCCATACTTTTCGCTCGTGTGAAGCATTTTTATCTTTGTCGCTAAAAAGAATCATAATCGGTCTACAGCCTCTCTCCATCAATCTCTCCTATGTATGTGACGGGCATATCATTACAAATTTGAGTGTCGGATTCAATCATTCAATGGTAATTCATATTGTTATTATTTCCTCACATTAATTATTTATGATTTACCATCGCTGTGTTTTTAAAATATTACATCATCGAACTCTGATGCACTTTTAATTTTGAACTTTCTTTACTTTTCAGCTTTGAACGTAACTGAAACACATTACTCGAGGCAGAACAGGTAATGCATATATTTGAATTAAGAAATGAAAGTCCAGAGTCCTGCATTTTACAGTCTATAGAAGGATCTGAACTGTGACGACGATCAGCGCGAACATCACTTCCGATTTCCGAAGGAGCTGGACTTTCAGCGACAACCTCACCCACGAACAAAGGAGGACGCTGGTGCCGGTCATCGAAGACAAACTCAGCCCTGACATCAAAGGTAACCCCAGCCTTCTACGCTCATATTTACTAGCTAGCTAGCTAGATATGTTACGCATAATCATATCGTAGAGAAGTATAGCCGTGGGAGGGGCCTTGGTAGAGCTATGAGATCACGTACCTTATAATAGTAGGAAAATTGAAGGAAAATAAAATGATAAACCTGCATTTCCGTACGTCTCAAGTAGGCCAAATTACCAAATTGATAAAAAAAAAAAAAAAAAAAAAAAGAGGGTTGTTGGTAATTTGGTAATTAATTTGGCCTACTGGAGACGTACGGAAGTGCAGGTTTATCATTTTATTTTGGGAAAAGGTACATATATACCTCTATAGTATAGGTGCATGAACAAATATACCCTTGTTCTATTTTTCGGAACAAATATACCCCTGAACTTTGAAAAAGGTGAAAAAATATCTCTCATGTTCTTATAAATTACCAAATTAATTCTTATTGACTTTAAATTAATAAAATTAATTTCAAAAAACACCAATAAATTAAAAATTCGAAATTAAAATATAAAAAAATTAAAAAATGTAATTGTGTCCAATTCTCCCTTTTCGTTTTTGTATCACAATTAAATATTTTTAGTATATAAATTCACTATTTTGTAATTTTTGGGCTATTTATCATCATACAAAATATGTAATTTTATAGTGCAAAAAATGCAAAAATAATTTTTTTACATTGCAACACATATGTTAGCACATTTTCGAAAGAATATTAAATATATAGTAAAATTTTGAAATAATATTTTATACTAGTACTAAAAATATTTAATTTTTATTTTTTTTTTTATATTTTAATTTCGAATTTTTAATTTTTTTGGTCTTTTTGGAAATTACTTTAAAGTTAATAAGGATTAATTTGATCCTTTATAAAAACATAAGGGATATTTTTTCACTTTTTTCAAAGTTCAGGGGTATATTTGTTCTGAAAAATAGAACAGGAGTATATTTGTTCCTGCACCTATACTATAGGGGTATATATATATATGTACCTTTTCTCTTTTATTTTCCTTCAATTTTCCTACTATTATAAGGTACGTGATCTCATAGCAGCTCTACCCAACCCCTCCCACGGCTATCCTTCTCTACGATATGATTATGCGTAACATATCTAGCTAGCTAGTAAATATGAGCGTAGAAGATCGGAGGTTACCTTTGATGTCAGGGCTCAGTTTGTCTCTGGTGACCGGTGCCGGCATCCTGCTTTGTTCGTGGAAGTGATGTTCGTGCTGATCGCCGCTGCAGTTCGGATCCTTCTATAGGTTGTAGAATGCAAGACTCTGAACTTTCATCTAATTCAAATACATGCACAGAACGAAAGTCAAGGGAGTCAAAGAACTTACGAATGAGCTCCAATGGAGTTCTACCTTTTGTGAATCGACCGATGAGGGTGAAATGGAGATGTTCCGTGAGAATGGACGTACGGGCGATGGAATCTTGATGGCGATACAGCCCTTGTGTCGCCCAAATTGGAGCTTCATGTGTTCATCAATGGTTGGCCGAGCCTTAGGGGTAGCAACCATTGCTGCGTAGGATCTTCGTGGTGGCGGATTGTCCCCCTGTGGAGGGGGAGCTGCCATGGCGCCGCTGTCCTTTACTTCCGTCAAGAGTTATTTTCTTCCGTTGGAGCCTCTCTCTCTAGAAGACCGTTGTTCAACAAAAAGAAAAGTATATATGTTTAATTTTCCTCACAGTTATGCCCATTCTCCAAACAGATCTTGGATTTTCTGGACCAATGATAACACTGTTTCTATCATTCACGAGGGTCCCCAATCTTTGTCTATGATTATTACTAACATTGGGAATCCAATTCCTTTTTTGGTTTCAATTGTTCATGGCAGCAGTGATAGAATTCAAAGAAGACAACTTTGGGACGAGCTTAGGCTTCTCATATCTTCTAATAGTAGTAGCCCTTGGATTGTTGCTGGAGATTTCAAAATGCTATTACTCACCTCAATGAGTATAGGGGTAACTCTAACCCTAACACTTAGTGGACTTTCAGTAACACTTAGATTTCAGTAACTCTATTACTGAATTCAATGATTTCATCAATGCCAATGCCTTAGTGGACATTCATATTTAATACTACTTCCATTTTTTTAGTTGCAACTTGCAACATTGATGAATTTTATACTCCATTCGCATACTCTACTTAGACTACATTTTATTTATTAATGTATTATAAATTAAATATTGAAAAATGGTGTTCAATTCCTCTTATTTTAATTTTTACAAATCTATTTTTTTTATTTTTACTAATTGTGAATGAAATGTATTAACGGTCAAACTTGTGCGTTGCAACTAAAAAGGAACGGAGAAAGTATATTCATATTATAATTATATTTACATACGAGTACTTATTAGAATTAATTAGGGATAATTTAACGGTCAAACTTGTGCGGTGCAAAGTCTAAAAGTTTTGAAAATGGGGTGCAAAGTTCAATATCACCCAAAAAGTGGGGTGCAAACTCAAAATTCCCCTATTAAATATTACTTGCATTCTTATAGTAGTCATATTTGAATATTAGTTGCATTGTAAGAGTAGTCACATTTTAATATTGACTACATTTTGATAGTTACAATTTAATACTAGCCACTTTATCATATTACATACATTGGCATTAGTCACACTATTTGCATTAGCCACATTATAAGATTAGTAACATTATCATGTAAATATAACTTGCATTTTGAGATAGTCAAATTTTAATATTTGTTACATTTTCATAGTTGCTACTTGCTACAACTTAATATTAGCCACAATACAGAGTATCATATTCCTTTCATTTGCATTAGCCACATTATACAAGAATTAGTCACTTTAAAATTTGATACACTTTTATAGTTATTACAATTTAATACACTTTAGAACAAAAGTCAATGCCATGCTTCGTTGACAAATGGATCATCAAAAATGGCTACCAGACGTAACGCTTTGTTTACAAATGCATATTACTTGCACTTTAATACTTGTGAAGTTGAGACGCATTTTGGAAGACTGGAACACAAGAAGTAGGGGTGGACTCGGGCCGGGCGGCCCGGCCCGGAACCGGCCCAACCCGGGTGGAACCCCAAAAAATGAAAAAAAAAAAATCAATTTAGCCCGGACCCGGGCCCGACCCGGCCGGTTCGCCAAATGTGAGACCCCCCCCCCCCCGGGCCTAGGCCCGACTCGTGGGCCTAGACCCGAGAACCGGGCCGGTCCCGCACAGTAGCGGGCCGGGTGGCCCGACCCGAGTCCACCACTAGCCCGAGACCAGCTGGATATAACTGGACCGGGACCGCAACCCGTAATTATCCGGGTCGGTTCCAGTCTTATTAATGGGACCCAGGATTGGTACTGAATCTATCCCTAGGAGAACACCATTTCCAATCAGTAAAGATGGTCACATATTCACATTTGAAAGATACAGTTACCAATTCAATAGGATTTAAAACATCACCAAATAGAACAAAAGTCAATGCCATGCTTCGTTTACAAATGGATCATCAAAGATGGCTATCGGTACGTAACGCTTCCAAAACTCAGCTCGATCAATATCACAGTTCATAAATCATAATTCACGTACAGAAATCCAATTCGACACTTTCAAAACTAACTACTTACTACGTAATAAATATAAATTGCACTAAAAGACCAACTCTAAAACATACAGACTGTAAAAGTAATAAAAAAAACTGTATCCTTCCCTGTCTTGACCTGCTTTACCTCACAAAGCTGTCTTTAGGGGTTCAAAAAACATGCAGTATTGATAACAAAGCAATAGCATATCTCAAATATACACAAAGTTGAATCGCATGGAAAGAAACCCTGATATCTTTGCATATTCAACCAAAACTCATCACTACTCAAGACACATATATCATCACCCACGAATTTTCGTAATCTGCAAGGCTTCTGGCATAGAAATCATGACAACGCTATCCGGTACTAATAAATTCTTGATAACCTACCAACCAGAACTTGGTGATAAACTCATACCATTCTGAATATTGGATCAGATCGAGTAGGTAACCTATTCAACTGGGTGTTAACCCGAGAGCAAGTACTCACTGTGTTCTCAGCTCACTGATTAGATAACATAAGTATGAGTTAGTCTATTTAAAGTTTCTACACCCTAATAGAGAGCTAAAAGATGACTACCTATCAGATGAGAGGCTTGGTGGAGAAACTGGACAGCCAAAAACATTAAGCCATTGTTTGGTTCAAAGGAGGGGAGGGAAGGGGAGAGCCAAGGAGGATAGGGGAGGGAAGGAGATAGAATGATTTTGATAAACATTTATGTTTGGTGGGAGGAAAGGGGAGGAAAGTTTAAAAGAAATTTCCTAATTCGCCCTTGTTTTATAACTTGTTTTGCAAAGCTGGATAAATGTGATGAATCCAAATACTTTCTCCGTTCTTTTTAATTGCCCCTGACTATATTCTATTTATTACTCCCTCAGTCCCGTTTTATAAGATGTCTTTACTATTCACTTGGTCAACACAAATCACTCTTAATCTCTTATTTTATATATCAAAAATTTATGAAATTTGAATTATTTTTTGCAGGTTTTGTAGCAGGTTTAATATAGTTTCTGAATATGTAATTTCTTTTTTCAAAAAATAATTTGAGTGCAAACAAGGATCTGTTTGCTTTATCGTTGGTCAAACATCGTAAACCGAAAAGTATTTTATAATTCGGGACGGAGGGAGTAATATATTATGAATTATTTTTAACAAAATATTGTTAAATTCCTTTTTTTTTAACTTTTCAAAATATGAATTTTTTTTTATTTTTAACTAATATGAAATTGTGCGTTGGCAAACGTGAAAAGTGGAACATTGGAACTAAAAGAGAATGAAGTATTATTAACTGAGTTCATAAATCATAATATTGAAAATTAAACGAAATACTTGACAGCCCTATGACTAATTATTTATATTTTATTGAAATTATTTATTAAAAATTCTTCTTATAAATATAGAAAATATAATATTACTTTGATTATACATAGAGGTTAAAAGTATTGACAATAACCAATTTTGAATTATTTCAAACAACTGAATCACTGATTACATATGCAAAAGAAGTAATCATATTTAAATTATGAAACAATTTCAGTTTTAATTATTAATGGGGTATTTTATAGTAAGTAATAATAGCCATTATAAGCGTTAAAAGGCATAAGAGGACTAGAGGAGTGAGAGTGTGAGACGCAAGAGAAGAGATTGAGCTGCTTATATTTTGAGAGTTCTGAATAGAAGGCTCTTTTTGTCCACTCATGTATCCAATCTTCCGTAATTCTCATTGCCTCTGATTCTCTGAATACCCCAATTTCGGGTTATTTCGGGGCTTTGAAATGAGGGACACTAGGAAGTTTTAGAAGTCTTCCCCTCTTTATCTCTATTTCTTCCAACCAAACAAACATCAATCCCCTAATTTCTTTCCCTACCTCCCGAAATCCCCAACTAAACCCAGCCTTAGTGATGGAAAAATGGTAAAGGAGAACATTAATGTAGACATTCTAGGAAAACTTGCACGCATTCATTGGATGATAAATGACAAGCCTATATTTGTTGTCCCCTAGAGCATTACTCCTACGGATGCCCTTGATGAAGACAATTTTGGATGGGAAACCATCATATATCATATATGGAACTAAAAGTCAAACATAAAAGCAGTTCAACTGAAGGAGCGGTACTCGAGGGGCATTTTTGAAATAAGTAATAGAGGTGGATGGTGAAGATTTTCTAGACTGGTGTATTTGGATGTGATGAGTGGTCTCTGTGTTGAGACTTTCAAGGCATGTAACTATGCATATTTGTCTATTTGAGTTGGTAAGTACCAAAATGCTGGTATTTGATCTAGCAAAAAAATGCGTGTACATGCAGGGTTGATCCACAATGTGAGAGTCAAGGCAGAGCCTCCCCAAACCGGAACTAGCCTTTTCCCACCTTCGCAAATATTAGAGCATTCTTTTGTTTTTCAGTCCAATTAGCATAAGAATATAATACATAGACCTATTTTTTGCACTCTAAGCTCAAACTAATCTGAATAATGAAAAGCAAATTTGAAAGGTGTCCTATGAAAACCGGAAATTCCACTAGCCTATTTCTTAAAGACAGACTTCATCACTGGAGAAGTCCTGGCTGCTATCCCGAGCACTGGTCTTTTTGAGTTGCGCGTAAGTGAGCAAATTACATAGAAAGACATCATCCTTTAGCCCAACAGGTTGTCTAGCCTCATTCTTCCTAAAATGCACAAAACATCACAATGTTCATAAAAGTTAAAGCAATTTGATAACACAGAGATGCAATTGATGCCCCATCTCTCTTCAACAAAAAATATGCTTTTCACTAAAAGTGGAGACCATAACCCAATTCACTCTCAGAAGTCCCTGTCAATCACTCAATCCACATTTCATAACCAATAAAAAGATTTCCATGTCTCTTCTTTTGCATTCTCTTTGACTGGTTGTCCTTGCAATCCATAAATTTTCAGTACAAAGCATTGAGAAATATCGTACGGATATTTAAATGGATACATGATACACCATTCGTCCAATAGTCTTGAGAGGTGTAAAAGACAACATTGGCACTTCAACACCACTCCACTTTTACTATTATTTCAAACAAACTCTTTCATGGAGATGCCAAAAGTTTATACAAAAAGAAAATTAACGACAAATACTGGATATGTAGCAGTCACGTCTTTGAAATTCTGCAAGTTCCCTAAAAGCAGAAATTTATGAGGCATCCGTTGGCACTTCAACACCACTCCACTTTTACTATTATTTCAAACAAGCTCTTTCATGGAGATGCCAAAAGTTTAGATAAAAAGAAAATTAACAACAAATACTGGATATGTAGCAGTCACGTCTTTGAAATTCTGTAAGTTCCCTAAAAGCAGAAATTTACGAAGCATCCAAATCTCAGTACAATTGAACTACCAATCTCCTGGTGACATCTCCATAAATAAGACCCGGTGTTCTATCATGCATGTCACCAAACCACATACAAGGCTCAGCATGCTAGATGTAATACTTCCAATCCATAACGGAGAAGCCTTCAACTAAATAGTGCACTCCATGCAGCCTCTTTGCCCTTTCAGATCTGTATGGTAGAGAAATTGACATGTAACCATATTGCTCACTCCATTCCTCAGTGATGGCTCTTGTGAGGAAAATACAGAATATATGACTTCTAGGAACCACACTTCCAGAAGAGCTCAATTTGCTAATAGGATACCTTAGTTTTCACCAATTTGTTTATCTTTGTAGGGATGGTAAAGTATGAAGAGGGCGACCATAGCATATTTCCACATTCATAATTTATATCACTACCTAAGCAGTTTATTAAGTAAGGCTAGAAAGACAACTAGACAAATAGGACTTGCCTCAATAATAAGATCTTGAACTGCTACCACCCATATAGCTTCCACCCCCCGTTTCACGGTTAGAATAAAGTGACGAGTAAGAGCTGCCACCCATCTGATTTTAATAGATGGAAAAAGTAACCTTCAGTGTCAAGACGTCAATTTCTAAAGATATTCTCCCTCCCCTTCGGCCCTCCCAAATAAAAGTCATGTTTCAAAAACTTTTATTTGAAGCATTGTAAAATAACAAGGTTTCAACAGTGAATATTAATAGTCAAGTACAATTCCTTTAAAGCCACACTGAAAGAGAGATCAGTATACTCCAAACAGAACTTGTATAACTGTGAAACCTGATTGAGCTCACAAAAAATGGTTGTACATTACACAAACATGACTTTTTGGGACGACTGAAGTTATAGGCTTGAAAGAGGTAAATAAAGTAAAAGCCTACATCACTGCCATGAGGCATATAATCACCACCATAGCCTGAAGCATACATTCCACCCACATCACTACCACTATAGGATCCTGCAAAAACAAATCGCATCATAACCAAGTAGAATTTAAAAACATAAAAAACTAATGAACTAATATTTCACACGAGTTAAACAATGTTCACAACTCACCTCTGTCATACCCCATACCCTGGCGACCACTATAAAGTCCATGAGAATCTTGACTAGACATAGAACTTCTGCCCCCATATCCAATAGGAGGCCTTCCAGGTCTGCAGAAGTTTTGTGCAAAATAAATTAGCCAAAGTACTAGTGCCAAAAAAAGTTTTATCTACTTAATTATTTCAGAGTGGCACATATGTATGTGTACCTGTCGCCATAGGAACCACCATATTGAGAAGCACTGCGTCCTGCATACTCATAGTCCAATCGTGCACGAGAACGGCGAACTCCTGCCTCAACATATCGAGGAGGAGGAACATCATCTTGCTAATGCATTAGAAGAAAAAACATTTCTTTGCATCAGTAAAATGAAGTGATATACAGAGAGAAGACCAATGCATCTCACAAATAATAATAATTATTATAAAGGCAAATGAAAACCAGACCATTGCAGTATATGAACGTTTAGAGCCAGATATAGAATCATATTCCCGAGCACGGCTTTCACGGTACACTGGAGGGGGTCTTTCAAACCTCTGCTCATAGCCATCATCAACATATGCTCTCCGTACGCCAGTCCTAGATGTTCCTCCTGGAAAATCATTATAGCCAGATCCATGGGGAGCATACTCGTCTCTATAGGATGAACGCCTGTCAGAATGCACTCTAGGAGCATAGTCTATTGCAGCTCTGCTTCCATAATCTCTCTTAGTACTACTTCTTGTATATGCATGAGCTGCATGATAATAAATCAATAATAAATGTAAATGTAAACATGCTGGGGGAGTAGTGAACACAACAGAAAAGTATACCAACCAGGCGGCCTTCTCTCATATGACCTGCTAGGCACATGAGCAACAGGTCTGCTCTTAGGAGGGACAGCAATGGCTGGTCTTCTATCTCTATAACCAGCAGATCTTTTATAATTCCGATCAACCAAAGGCGGTCCACGTGTACCAACTCTTGATGCACGAGTGGGGAGATTAAGGGGCAACGAGCGTCCCCACGGAGCCCTGGGCACTCGTACTGGCCTGCGCCGAGGCCTCACCACATCTCCTCGAGAACCATATTTTCCCCTGCCCCTTGAAAGGGGTCTTGATAATCTGGCCCGAACTTTGACCTAAAAGGTGGGTGATCCTTTTAAGAAAGAAATATGTTTGGAAGAGACACAATGCAAGATATAACATGGATTTAGATAACAAACCTTACTGTCTCCTTCACCCAGCATAGCATTATTGATGCATTTAGCACAAGTAACAGCATCATCATGTGAATCAAATGTCACAAATCCAAAATCCTTTCTCTTGGCAGATGGCATATTACGAGCAAGCTCAATCTTTTCTATCTTCCCATATTTTTTTAGAAGTTCAGTAACATGGGCCTCGTCCCAATGGGATGGAAGACCATCTATAAAGACCGTTTTAACCTGGATAAATAAATATCAGTTAGGGAGATTGTTGACTAATATTATCCCGCTACGTAACACAATACGATAAAATGTTGGCTACAAAAACGATAAATTTCTGAAGAAACAAAAAAAAACATGCAGACCACTCTAGAGAGGAGAATTAACAAAGGAAACTATAAATAAAACAGAGCATTATATCCACTATAATGCTCATATTAGTTTTCCCAATTCATGTCTTTTTGGATGATTGAACTTTAAGTATCAACTAAATGTCTTTCCATTAATCCTTCAGCAGCAATATGCTGCATATACAGTGCTGGACAAAAAAACTTGTCTAAAGCAAATCCAAAGTGTGAAGGCCACTTCTAATCCAGAGCAGAATGTCCTCTGTTTAGGAGACGTCCCAACTACAAATGGAACAACTCCACCGTCTATGAATTCAATAGTGCAGACTGGAAGTATTTACCTGAGCCATTATTTCATCGCCTGGATCAATGAATGAATCTGCGAAGGAAACCTTGGCAGGTCTGTCAACTCCAAAGACAACATTTCTCTTCTGAAGACGCTTAAAAGCATCCATAGCATCTGAACGAGAAGAGAATTCCAAGAACGCAAAGCCGCGATTTGTTCCTACGATATTTGTGTCCTCCACTAGTGTCAAGTCATCAATATTCTCAACGCCATAGTGCTTCAACTTCTCATTCAACTGGAAGGGCAAAGTGAACATCAAAGTAACAGCTGTTAAGCAACAGCTTAAAATGATCTTATAACCTTATTCTTGATGATAACAATATAAAGCGACCTAGTCTACTTACAGCATCCTTTGTCCATGTCTTGCATATGTTGCCTAAAAACAGAGTATCACTGTCTTGACTTGGAGTAACACCGCACTTTTTTCCATTAACCTGGAACTTTGGCTATCAGGACAATAATCTTGACAAAAACATCAAATCAGTTTTAGCTCGAGAACTACAGAATCAAGAAAATACCACAGGATTTTTTAGCTCTACACAAGCACGCTTGGCTTGTTCTACAGTTGCAAATCTCAGAAAAGCAAATCCCTTATTCTTCTTGGTCTGAGAGTTCATCATAAGCCTCACTTCAGTGATTTCACCAACTGGACTAAAGACCTTCTTCAGATCATCTTCAGTAGCATCCTTGTCTAAGCCACCGATAAAAATTTCAAACTCCTTACGCTTGCGTCTTTCTTTAACCACTTCGTGGTGTTCTTCCTCTTCGGCTGCATTAACCATCTCAGCATGTTCTTCATTTTCTTGTTCATCACCTTCTTCTACCTCAAGGTCCTCATTGACATCTTCAACCTCCTCCACCTCTTCAACCATATCACCTTCACCCTCTTCGCCACAAATAAAGTCCTCCTCATTATCTTCTATCTCATCTCCCTCATCTTGTTCATCTTCTTGCTCACTTCCTCTCTCATCATAATCAGCACCAACATACTCTTCAGTTTCATATTCAGGATCATTATCCTCCAAGTCTAACCTTTCACATTTTTCATACTCTTCAACCGACTCTTTCGGTTCCAACTCCTCTGCCATTGAAAAATATATTCATCCAGGACAGTCAACATATTGAAATATACAAGTTCCTAACACCTTAGTGACCTACAGACTACATACTTTACCAAATGTCACCCGTAGAACTTTGTCATCTTTGAATCTTTTGGTCAATCAATTAAATTTTGACCAATGATATATTTTTATAAGAAATGATTTATAAAATAAAAATTATATGGAAATGTTTTTTGTTGAAAATACTTTGGTAAGTAAAAAATTTATAACTTTCATATAATAATACTAATCAATCATTGGCCAAATATTTACCATCATTGACTTGAAAAGTCAAAGATGGCAAAGTTATAAGGGACGGAGATAGTATGTCTTAAAGTATTAAACCACGGTTTACAATGACTTTCAGAGATAGCAATATGGCTTCCACGTAGACCATAAGCATACAAAATAACTTTCAAAAGAACTGTTGTCACACATGAGGACGCATCTTCTTTACTCTTTCCTCGTGGTAGTTAATGGTTGTATTATTCAGGGGACCTTACACATACTAATAACGTACTTTCCTCAAGTATGAAAAATGCCTAGAGAGAGATTCAAGAAACATGGAAAAAAGTTGTGCTACAATTAATGATTCAACATCTCACTACGAAGAGTGTAATCCGTACACGCAGAGGCAGTGTTTTAAGTATAATCTGACTAATATGCAAAAATTAAATAAAGATCAAATCTTTCAGCCTTTCACCAGATTACTAATACTACTATAGACAAATAGCTCATATACCCCAAAAAAAACTAAAAGATTGCCACAGAATAAGTTTGAACGCAATAATTATCATAAAGAGACATACAGCAAGAACTCACAAACATAAACCATACAATAATGACATGTCACTTACTCTTAGTAGGGGGGCATCTTTTTGCCTCAGATTCATGTTCCTCCTCTGGCTCATCTTTAGTCCTAGCAGGAGATAACTGCTGCTCACTAGCATTACCTATTTCCTCGACCATGGCATCCTCTTTGAGATCCACAGTGGTTTTGTCATCCACTTCTTTTACCTGGTCCGCCTTCAACGGTTCATCAGGGGGCTTTGGCTGGGCTTTGTTTGCAGCTCGTGTGAGACGAGACTTTCTGTTCATTCCGGGGCCTGCTTGCAGCTTCTTTGACTTCGGAGGCATTGGTGTCTTCTTACCTAAAATTAATAATCAAAATCTTTATATATATATACACACACACACACACATCGAAATCTCTAATCTTGATCTATTCACAGCTGATAATATATAAAAAGATATGTAGGAACAAGCAAAACAAGATGCTATAAAAATAAGAAGACAGTTAGTAATAATCAAACAACCTCGGGATACTTGACCAACGGCGTGGTGTAGACGGCGACCGACCTAAGGGAAAGAGGGGCTGGAAACGGAGAGAGCAATATAGCTTACGACCGTCTTGCTGAGAGATGAGCGGTAGAGAGAATTGCTGGATCGGATGAATTGGGGGGTGCTCATGAATTGGTACACGATCGATTAGGTTATTCCAGTTTTGGGCATTTGATTTTCAAATTGGACCGGACCAAACACTGGGCCAATAACTTTAAATCATCTAGACCTTGTCTGATAGTATCACATTTGACTATAACTTACTCCCTCCGTTCTTTTTTATTAGTCTCCTTAGGCTTTGTCACGGGTACTATGAGTATACTAGTAGGGGTAGTGTAAAAAGGTGTAATGAGTAGTGGGTAAATGAAAAAGTAGGAAAGAGAAAGGGTAATGGTAATAAAAGTGGGGGGGTATAAAGGTATATTTAAAGTAAAAACTTTCCTTAAATGGAAAGGAGGACAGATAAAAAAAACGTCCCAAAAATGAAAGAAGGACTAATAATAAAGAACGGAGGGAGTATGAAATTTTGATCAAAGTGACTGAATCGATTGATTCTATTGATTTATGCAAAAATTAGTTTTCAAGTCTGTGCGATGCACGGGCAGTACGTAATTTAGCTAAATTTAAATTTGATTATTTTCAAAATCATATATAATGTGATGCAAAAGCAAAATGTAAACTCAAGGGTTGTATAATTTCGACTTAATAGACTTATGACAATTGACGACTTAATCATTCAGTCATTAAGTAATGTTTACTTACTACTTAATTGAAAATATGACTTAATCATTCAGTCAAAAAACTAACTTAATCCTTAAATTGGAGAATAACAGTTCTTCCCATTAAGACGTCTATTGAGACGTTTTTTCTGTCATTTTTTTTTTCAAATTTTCAATTAATAAATGAATTTTTTCATTGACACTATAAATCAAGAATAATATGGAATTGTTTATTTTACACGATTCAGATTGTTTATTCAGCATACAAAATAAACAGCTTCAAATACAAATATCATTTAATCAGACCTAGACATGCATGTTAATCTAGACATGACATAATAGAAAACAAAAATAAACAACCCCTTTTAGTTTAATATAGAGCCCGTTTGATAAAACTGGAATTGATCGAATCAACTGGTTCTGCAGAAATTGATTAAGTTCTGACTCAATGGTAAGCATAATTAATTTTAAATTTTAATAGTGAGATGTTACATTTAACTCATAATTTTGTCATTTTGAAAATGTTAAAAAGTGTAGTTTTTAAAATTTCAACTCTTTTCTAAATTGGACAAATCTGAGCTATCTAAACCACTGTTCTAAAAATCGCTCTAGGCGTCCGACTAGTCGCCGCCTAGGCGCTAGGCGGTGGTCGGGCGCCCCGATTTTGGTCTAGGCGCTCCGACTAATTAAATCGGCGCCTAGGTGAATTCGTCGGCCGTCTAGGGCGCCTAGTTGCCCGCCCAGAGCGCTTAATGGGCCGCCTAGGCGTCTAGATTCATCGAACAATTTTTTTTTTGCTTTTTTATTTCACTATCCTAAGAAATATGTATCTTTAACTTTGACAATGTATGTGAAGAAAGCTACTAGTGAGTAAGTGACTAAGTGAGTAGATATAACATATTATTAAATGTGATAACTCTATCATTCATGCATGTTAATGTGTATGTGTGTGTATATATATTTTTTATACACACAAACACAACATTACTAATCATATTTATGCAAAAATATTGATAAAACTACAATTTCGATGTCTCCGATTAGTCCCCGCCTAGGCGCCCGCCTAGCCGACTAGGCGCTAGGCGCTGGGCTGGCGCCCGACTAGCGCCTAGCGCCTTTTAGAACATTGATCTAAACTAATTTAAAAAAATTGAAGATGCCATGGAATCCAAACGTATTCCTTCGTTCATTCTCAATTCAAATGCTTGATCCATCCATGTAGAGCACGGTACCATATATAGCACATTTCTAGTGAGTGGGATTCATTATATATGTATTATTCCAAATGGCATTGTATTTTTGTTGACATGTAAATGGTTATTTCTGATTCATTGTGTTTATTCATAAGAATTTTTTTTGTATCTTATCAAATAATCCTTTCATTTGTATTCTCGCATAAGCTATATAGTTATTTTGTACTTTCCATAGAAAATCAACTATTATTAATACTTTTTTGATCTATTTCCGTATATTAAGTTTTTCAGTTTGGATGACATCAGAGAGGCGGGTAACACAAACTTTAATTTCCAGTCGGACTTTGATGTATCAAGTTGACGTATTAGAAAATAATTTTCGAATTTTATTTAATGCGTAGTATTAATCAATCAAGTATAATGCATAATATCAGGCATCATAAACATGTTAATGGCAAAGTATGATATATACTAATGTACATAGTTTTTAATAATACATCAGTAAAATACTCTAGAAACTTATTGTGATGACATTTTTGATGTATGAACTCTAAACAATGGAACTCCCCAAACGAAGGAGAAACTCGATCAATTACTAAAATTTATAAAACTGAATAATGAAAACATACTGTAGTTTACTTTCTCTGTCTTTTTATAATAATAGCAAGTGTTCAATACTATGATGATCAATATGTAATGTGTAATAGCATACAGCTGCGCGCGCTATACGGAATTTTTATGTTTTTAAATTCTGGTTTTAGAAACACCAAGAAGCCTACATGAACGTGATTTTAATGTTGAGAAGTTCTGAATTTGTGTTTGGAGACCATATCAACATGTAATATAACAATAAAAAGTTAAAAATAATTAAATAATTATTATATATGATGACATGGCAAGGTTATGTGGCACATTGTATGCTCTTAAAAAGTTCCTCTTGTATATATATATATATATATATATATATATATATATATATATATATATATATATATATTGATTATATTTAAAATATATTTTATTAATTAAATAAAGAAACAATTATAAGAAAAATTGTTAATATCGTATTTTATATTAACTTCAACCAATACAATAGAAAACTAACTACAACCTTACTTTTTCTTATTCTAACAAAATTCAGCGCGCTAAACCAAAATTTCATGTTAGGTGAAAAGTTGGCTGAAAAGTTGGGTGAAAAGTTTCCAAAAACATGGTCACCAAACAGACTATTAATTTGGCATATTTTAAATTGCACTTCTTCATCAGCCCAAAGACAATAATATAAATTGGTAATTTTGTAATTAAAAGAATAAAAAATCTTAAAAGCTATAAAGATGTGAAGAGACATGTTTTTATTGATTCAACAACAAATGTGTTGACTTAGAACCAGGTCTATTTAAAAATCAAAACTAAAATTATATTCTTTCTAAAAACTTGTCTGGCTCTGTTAAAGACTTTTTACTTTTTTTTTATCATCAAAGACTTTTTACTTATATTTTAAGATTCTCAAATTGTCAACAAAAATTACACATTAGACCTAATTAATTAATTGAAATTATAAATAAAAAAAGAAGCCTACTCAGGTTACATATAAAGAAAAAAAATTGGGCCTAATTTTCTTTCTACTTTTTTTCGGGCCTAGGGCGGTCGCCCTTGCTGCTCTCCCCCTAGGACCGGCCCTGGGACTAAGGATGTTTTCTTTTGGACTGTTTTCACTCTCAGACCAGACCAGATCAGACTTCAATTCCGTAGTTATAAAATACACAGAGACCAGACATTTACTAGACCAGACCAGACCAGACCAGAACAGATCAGACCAGACCAACAAATTTCGTTCCAAAAGAAAACATCCTAATAATAATATAAGCAAGCAACGTAACAACAATATAATCAAAATACAACACAATGTAAAAAATGAAAATACAAAACTCTGAAATAGGGATACGAAACAGAAAAGTGTTTTTTTACTACAGAGAAGTTACTAATCTATATTGTATTTAATTCAAAAATAATATAGGCGAATCTACATGTAAAAAAGTTTCCACTATGTTGCAACACAAATATGTAAATACTCCGTCCGATTCAAAATCAAGTTCCACATTTGACTTCAGACATATTAAGAAAAGAAATTTGACTTTACTGTGGAGTGCACTGTTTGGACAATGTTTGACATTGTTTGACACTGTTTGGAACTGTTTTGATGTAGATAATTTGTCAAATAAGGAAAGGTTTGAAAGTGAAACTTAATTTTGGAACTGCCTGAAAAGGAAAGGTGGAACTTGTTTTTAAATCGGAGGGAGTATATAAATAGTATAACGAACAAACCGCTAAGCAGAAGGGCAAAACGCTGCCCCACTTGGCATTTTCTCATTCGGCTGTTTGGTATCAATCAAGTGAGGGCTTGTTTGCAAACTCTTAAATTAAGTGCTTGTATTTTCTTTAAGAAAAAAACACTTATTATATTAAACACTATCAACTTTTACTTTTCTCGAATTTCATGTAAAATCTATTTTTTACTTTTCTATTACACAAAAGCACTTATTTTATCAAACACTACCAACTTTTACTACTAATCACTTTTTCCGAAAAGTGTTTTTATTTAAACACAAGCACTTGTAAATAAAGCCTAAATGATACAGCTATTCACGAAACAAGTTTTGTTGTTGTTTGACTAATTCAATTAGCTATTTTCAATCAAAGCAGCTATATATCAGTTAATCAACCATTACTCACTATCAAAAAACTTAGTTATAGGCACAGAAATTTGGTAACTATTTTCAGTTAAAGTTACCTAGTACTACGTACTTTGTATTATTCTTTTATTAATAAAATATGTCTTGTTGAGGATTATAAAAAACATAGAGGAAAATGAAATACTCCGTATATACTGCTACTTCCGCCCCAATTTATTTTGCAACGTCAAAATTTCTTAATAATTCAATTTTAATAATAAAAATATACATATTAAAAAATTACATTAAAATCTATATTAAATTGCAAAAACCAAATTAAAATTTAATTAACAATAATTGATATTGTAATTATGTGATTAAAATAAGAAAATATTATCCAAGAAGTCAAATTTTTGCAAATCCATTTGGGAAATGCCAAGAAGGGAGTAGGTATTAGGGTATTACAATTACGCTTATTTAGTATTCACAAATAATTTTAGTCGGCTAATAGCCGTTATTTTTACTGTTTGTTTTTTGGAAATCCGTTATTTTTACTGTTAGTAATCTTTTTTATATATATTCGTCAGTCGTCACCCAAGCACGCATTAC